GCATCCAGACAGATATTCAGTCTTGCTATGGTCCACCTTTAACATGGTACTCAGGCAGGCATCCATCCGATAACGCAGTTTTACCACTGCACCCCCACAGTCATACCAAGTACGTTTGCTTCGTTTGAAACAACACACTTTGCTGTATGAACATGTCTCATCTGAGAAGCTTTAAATCATCCTGGGACCTCCTTGGCCAGGCAGACCCTAACACATAGCCTTTCTTTAAATCTTGGTTGGCATGTTCCTCATGAGACATACAGTAAAGCCACTCAAATGAAAAAACAGGCCATCCCACTGTACCACTGAATCATTGCACGCCTCCCATTCCTGTGCTTCAGACTCAAGTACTGTATTTTGCCACTCCATTACATTTTAGCTATTTTCCTTTTATAAAGTGAGTCCAAAGCATCACCAAATCAGAGTTCTCCGCTTGTTCTGATGATAGGTTTTATAACTTCTTGGCATAAATAAAAGTTTTGTTACAAAGTGAGGTCATTACAGGACTGCTATATTAGGTCACTGAAGAGCTCATACACCACCTGTTATATACAATGTCAACTAGTAAAAGTGAACTACCAGTAACAAGCCATGACAATGGCCACACTCATGATAATGATGCTTAGCTACCTCATAGTTGTTTGGAGTTTTCCACAAAACCAGCACTTTTCATGCAAATAGGAAGTCAGAACCTGCTAATAGTAATTTATGAAAATTACATACTGTTTTGCAACAAACAAACATTATGTTAATGCACAAAGTCTAACTGCTCTTTTGGACTAGATAATTATCCCCACTGTACTTCTAGGAAGGCAGAATTGTGCAAAGGAGAACTGCACTAGCTCAGGCACATGGTCAAATAGTGGCACAATTGAGACCTCAGTGCTTGTGGGCACATTTTATTACTGCTATAAGATAATGATAATTTGTGGCAAAATGAGACAGAACCCTTCTTCTGCAAACTCCTATAACATTGCTTTCATTCTCGTTCCCAGATTTTTCCAGGCAGTGATCATAGTCTTTAGCAGAGCTGAGCTGGCATCACACAGCACCAGGGAAAACCAGGGGATTATAACAAATAATGCACATCGGCTGTCACGGGGAACTTCGAATGCAGATAGAGAGAGGTTAAGCACCAGAAAGAGGTCATTTTATGTAAATAGAAGTGGAGAGCACTGAGTTTAGTCAGCTGATTATTTATCTCATATTAAATTTTGCTTGAACATTTGGCTGTGGGATACAAAAATGCTAATGTGACTCTGTGGATATTCTTGAAAGCATAATAAATTTGAAGAGTAGATAGATAATCTCATAGAAATAAATACTTTGGACCATGCTAAAATGGCACTCACGACAATACCACTTAGACATTAGAGATATTACAATAATTGGTTCCATGTAAAACAGATAGCTAAAGACATTGGATTAGTTCCCAGGAGTGTGCTAGAATACATCACTGAAGATGGGTTCTTTAATTGAATGCATATAGGAATAGATATAACAGCTTGAGCCATACCCAGTATGTCACAACCCTAAACAATTATGGCTACATTTCATTTTGTACACCATCCCATCCCCATAAAATAGCTTGTTTCAAATTTAAAGGTACAGAATCCAATCTATTTTCTTAAGTGGAGTTTTATATTCTTTGAGGAAAGAGACACATCAACCTTCTTTATACTGAAAAGAACCTAGTACAGTCCTGGAGCAATATAAATAATAAATCTCTGTCTTAGGCATTTATAAAGAATCCATCAGTATGATACATATTTAACATACATGCACTTTAAATTTCATTATATATGTATGTGAACATTAACTCCACTTTCTGGGTTTCCATAAATTGTAGCCTTTAACTGGTTTATAAATATGGGCTAAGTATTTTTATTTTCCATTTTTTTAAGTACATTTATAAAAGCTGAAAAACTATTTGCAGCTATGTTTATCCTTTTCATACTTGGGGAAAGTGGTGTCTCTCCATTTTTTTTAAAGGAGCTGCTAATATCTAGACTGATTTCTTTATTAAGTGCAGGAAATTAAGTAAATTTCCATTGGTAAATTGTACCTACCCTGTTCTGATTTTGCAGTTGCACATGTGGAAAAGTAAATACAAAGCTACTCAAGCCAAAAGGACCACAGACCACTGTGATCACATAATCAGACATCCTGTATTAAAGAACTTCCTCCAAATTTATATTTCTTTTTCCAAAATGATAGGTATCATAAAGTAAATCATCTCTACATTTGGCCAAAAACAACTATACACTGTAAAGGCTCTCTTATGAGAGCTATCACAAGACAATAGCTTTGGAAATGAAGTGCAGTATTGTCTGTTAGCATAAAGATAATGAAAATATGTGAATGGAAACCATGTGACTTCCTTGGAGTGTTATATTAAATCTCCTGATTGACTCTCGTAAATTGCTCTTGAATTACTGCACTAACTCTCTTGGTTAGAGGGTTACTCAACAAGTTTTCCAACATTGAAAAAATGCTTCAGAAATAGTCTGAGCTGCTTTCGAAATGGCATATGTGCTTTGAAGCATATACTGGAATTCATTATAAGTTTTTGCAGACTCTATTATTCTCTTGCAGGACAAAATTAGATTGTAAAGCCATAAATCTCAAAGTCGGTTGCTTGCAGTTTGCACCAGAGTAGCCTCACTTCAGAAGTGTTCAGAAACCACACACTCCATTCACAACTGTGGAAACTGTGGCAGCTCTGTTTTTCTGAAATTTATTTTGACTGTGTTTCATTATTTATAGATACTATTAACCTAAACATAAATGAATCACACAAAAATAATGATCAAATCTTGCTATTTTAATTCATGAAGATAATCTAATTCAGATGAGTGAGACTAGTTGCGTTCATTTTCTTGATGGACTAAATAGTTCAAAACAGAAAGACAGAAATCTTGGGGGGGGGGGGATGGGAGGTGTTATTTTAAGGCACATGATAATTGTGTCCCTTTTTTTCTTCCTATCTAGACTTTAACAATTGATTGTTTGCTCTTTTTGCTCTGGGTACCGATGATACTTTTAGCCACCGAGAACTGTGTGCTCATTACCACTTTTCACTACCTTTTAGTCATTAGATAGTGACACCAAAAGATACCTTAATTGAGAGTTAGTGCAACTCTGCTCAAACACAAATAAAGCTGACATAAAAGGACTGAACTTTATGGCATCCACAAGTCTGTACATTTCTGCTGAAGTTCGTCACTGTCTGCCACTAATCCTACAAAGCTTGGTAGGGATCAGCTGCTGATAACACCAATGAAAGAGGGTCTTTGTTATAACACTCTTGGGTTTTTGTACATATTGAAGACCTTGTAAGCCTTATTCACATTGTCTGTTACTTACCAAACATTAGCAGTGTATATAACTCAGTGCTTCTAACACTTCAGACAAATCTGTACTTTTCTTTTTTTTCCCTGGTACTTCCATTAATCACAAATGTTTTTTATTTAAAATTCATGTTTATGATTTAATTCTCTATCCACAATAAATGCCTCATAAATAAACATTTGATTTTTTTAGCCTTCTCTTTAGTGGCAAAATAATGATTGAATTGATAAAGTTCAAAGCTAGAATGTTTTGCCTGTAGTGGATTTCTTATTACCATTATAAATGTTATCTTCAAAGAGTTAAAGTTAGTTAGTTATCCCAATCCTCTCTGTTTAATGAAATTATTTTGTTTCCTTAAACTGTGTTTAATAAGTAATAAGGGAGACTGGAAAATTAATATACATCTTGCTGTATTGATTTAGTTTTAGTTCATTCTGTTTTCTCTCTGAAGTCTATAAGCCTTCAGGTCCTATCTAATCTATTCATTTCTGACATGCGCATCTTTCTCCTGTCTAAGCGCCTCTGCTCTTCTTGGAACAGCCTCAGAGAGGATTTAAATCCTTATGCTTTGCTTTTTCAGCTGTTTACGATTTCCCACATAATTTTATTACGTATTTCAAAACATTATAATTGTACTCTAAGAAACTCCATTATCATATCAAGTCTAACTTAACATTGAACAGCATTATCCAAGTATAGTCCCTACATCCATTGTCCTGCAACTGCAGGAACACTGCCAGACCCTCCCATGAATTCTAAAAGTGCCTGGCAGCAATTCCATACTTAGGACTGCATTTTAAAATTGATAGCTACTAGTGTTGGAGAGTAATGACTTAGTAATAGATTGTGCATAAATAGGTAAGATGTAAGCAAAGTTAAGACCATAGTGCCACGCACTATGATAACTGCAATGAGAGCAGACTGCATAATTATCTAGATGACAGCATAGGAAATATAATGGTGTGCTTAAAACCCACAAAATGCTAAATTCAAACCTACAGAGTGTAGGGCCACTGTGACTGAAGCAGCTAGATTTAGCAAAGTGAGGTGCCAGCTGTAGCATTACTCAACACATTTAGGATGAGCCCGACAGTTTGGGAGAGAGCCACTTTCAAAAACAGACTCCTAAACATGATGCCAAGAGGGAAAGGATGAGGAACTGAGCTCTACATATCAGTTTCATCCCTTTATGGGTATCAGACATAAACAGACGGGTAAGCACATCAGCAGTCAAACTGAACTACATGAGAACAGGGATTGTATTGAACAAAGTAATTTTTTGTTTCATTTTTCTCAAAGGAAACTAAAAATGTCATCTTAGATTAATTTTGTTTTCAATTTGGAATCAGTGTTTCACTTTCAGAAGTTAAATACCAAGAAAGGGAGCTTAGACCCATGGAACTGGTGCAGAAGACATGTCTGCTTTTAAAGTCCAATGATTACAACATACTTAGAGTAATTCTCAAACTCGTCTGACTTAAGGGATTTTCAAACACAAGGTACATTTAGTAGTGTATATTAGTGTACATTAGCACACTGTCCTATCTCCCAAAGCGCTCTTACACATTTTCTGGAAGCCTTCAAATATTCAAGACCTATGGCAGATTGCACTCCAGGCCCCATGCTGTATTTTTGTACAATTAACTTACCACTAGAGGTGTGAAAAGCTGTCCCTCTAAGAGGAGAAGCACCATGCTCTGCTTTTCAGTGGGGCTGTTCTCAGTTTTGTCTGCTGACTGTGTCCAGTTGCATCAATTACTTAAACATTTTCTGAAAAAGAGGGACAACGTCTCAAGTCTGTAAGGCAGAAGGAGGACTCACTTAAGCCATAGACTGGAACTGTTGACTTCTGTGTCTCAAGAAAAACTCCCTGATGTAAAAGAATAATTTCTAAACTCTCCAGATGTTGACTGGCTATTAATGGAAACTTAAGACAGACATATTCACAATCTTAAATTCACTGCCCACCAGTGTAGAAGTGCTTCCTATTTGATAACTTCATAAAATCAGAGCCACAATTGAATCTAAGTTTTGTAACTAAAATCCTGATACACAAAGCACTGCCTGAAATGGAAGATGCAATGGCTGCACTGATACTACCCTGTAAAATCATCCTCAGCGGCAGCATCAAGGTCAAATCAACAAACTTCAACTAATCCAGTGAGAAAATACCCCTCCATCAAATGTCAGACACTTAAACTCATCTCGGCCCAAGGCTGCTAGCCACTCCAAACCTGCCTTCGGTACTCTGTGCTTTCCAGAAGCCTGGCTGTTGTCACGTGCTGCCTCAATTCCCTTTCCCCAGGAGCAACTGAGATAGGCAATGATCACACTCTTCAATCATCTCCACCTCTGCCTGTGGGCAGCACTCAAGAACACAAGAGCACACAAGGAAAAATATGCCGATAATTAGAGATTTAACTTTCTCTGTACTGCAAGGGGAAGGCACTGCATGGGCTAGAGCTGATCTGCCACCCTCCAGCACAGAGATGGACTGGCAATATGCTGTAGAGATGACATGAAGTTTTCCTTTGTCCTCCCAAGAGCTGCCAAACTCTATGGACAGCTCAGCTCTAAGTTATATGCCCATGTTGCAAATGCAGTTAATTGGCTGGTCCTGCATTAGCATGACTCACCCCGTAGGATGGACAAAACAGGATACACTACTCCTTCATCTTCACTCTCTTTCTATCCTGACCACTTCCTCTTCTTTTTCACCTCCTGACCTTTCTGAAAGACCACTTCCTTGCTATCACACCATTCAGTCCTACTGCCTGTTACCCCTCAAGCTCTGGTACAAGCTCTGTGAGGTCTTCATATCACAAAAGTCCATTCCCAAGAAGGATCAGAGCAGTCAGGCTGGAACTCTACATGGGAGCCTGAGGCTTGGGTTGTCATGAAGCCCTCGGGAAATTGGCCAAGACAGAGGAGGCAGGCTTGATATTTGCCTCAAGTTGATGTCTCACGCTCCACAATCTCATGGTATCATGATGTAATAAATAAGGTGTCATCACCATTCTGACAATGTGATACCTGGTAAAGCATCTCCTTGCTGGGACACCTTGGAAGCACAGTTAGCAGGCCATAAATGCGCAACAGTGCAGACAGCACTAATCCATAAGGACTATCTAACTCAAATTTTTGTCAACTCCCAGTCTTCACTCTCACTTGCCCTTTCTCCAGCAGTTAACTCTTGGGCTGAAGTTTGTAGTCCATTAAGATACCTCCTACCAACTTATTCCACACTTCAGTATGCCAAGTACTAGAAGATAACATTAAGAAAAAACCAAAGATGTATGGAAATTTATTAAAAGTATGAGTAACCTCAAAAGATAGCCAAAAAAGGTTTGTGGCAATTAGATTCTGAACTGAGAATCGGGGCTTTCCATTGACAAAGGTCAGCAGTCAACTCAACTGTGCGTCACCAGCAGACATCTGTGTCATGTTGCTTTCCTAAGATAACTTGCCTAGATAAGACGGCACTTCCTCACTGATTATAAAAGGAAGAGTTCTGCTCTGAGACCAGGGTTCTTCTTGTACTGGACTCACCCTACAAAAGTATTCACCTACAGCTGTCCTAGTACTTTTTACAAATTTGTGAAAACTATGTAAGATTTCCTCTCTAATAGTCTGGATTCATCTTAGTGATCAAAAAAAAAATAATTTAGTTTTGTCTGTTGACTGCAGGGTCAAATTGAGTCAGCAGTGTGCCTTGGCAGCCAAGAGGGCAAACTACATGGTGGGGTGCATCAAACACAGCATCACCAGATGGACAAGAGGTGATTATCCTGCTGTATTCAGTGTTGGTGTGGCCTCACCTTGAGCACTGTTTGTAGTTCTGGGCCCTACAATTTAAGGTCCTTGTGAAGATCCTTGAGTATGTCCAGAGGAGGACAACAAAGCAGTGAAAGGGCTGAAAGGGATGTCCTTTGAGAAGTGGCTAAGGACTTAGGACTTGTCTAGTTTGGAGAAAAGGAAACTGAGGAGTGACATGATTGCTCTCTCCAGCTTCCTGAAGAGGGAAAGTGGCGAACGAGGTGCTGACGTCTTCTCCCTGGAATCCAGTGACAGGATGTGAACGAATGGTTCAAAGCTGCACCAGAGGAGGTTTAGACTGGACATTAGGAACCATTACTTTACCAAGAGGGCGGTCAAACGCTAGAACAAGCTTTCTAGAGAGGTGGTCAATGCCCCAAGACTGTCACCATTTGAACAATGCCCTCAATAACATGCTTTAACTTTTGTTCAGCCCAGAATTGGTCAGGTAGTTGGGCTAGATGATTGTTGTAGGTCCCTTCCAACTGAAATATTTTATCCTGTTCTACTCATATAGTCATAGTGCTGTACAATACAAACTATGGCTTCTCGGTATAACTTGAGAGAATGACCTTCTCCACAGAATCCCTCGTGTCTGAGAGACTCCTGAGACAAGAGTTAGCCCAATTGTACAGATTTTGCAGGATCTCTCCCTACTACTCAGAGCTGCTATAAGCACTTCCCCCTTTGCAGGTCTGAAATGCCAAACTAGACAAAGGTGAGGACTTTACCATACAAGGATAGAAGACTTCAGGCTAGAAGACTTATTTTTGTTCCTAAATGTATTCTCCACTTAAAAGGTCATCATATTTTATTTAACAGACGTTCATGAAGCACATGATCACATATGTTTCACTGTTGATTGGAAGCCTGATTCTGAGAAATGAAATAGAGTTATGGTCTTTCATTAAATTCTACTTAAATTCATTGCAATGTAGCCAAGCTTCATTGCAATGGGGAAACTGAATTTCTGTTTACTTTCCTTGTTAAAACAAGGTGAACGTCAGTCTTAGTTTCCTTGTTTGACAGTCTTTCTATCTCTGCCCTGCTTAGGCTCTAGCCAGATGAAATTGCATTTAATTTCTTAGGGCTTCATAGTATTCTTAGTTGTTTTTTTGAAGACAGACCACTTTCTAGTTTTCAAATTCTAGTGGGGCAACAGAGCACTGTTATTTTCTGAACTGGCTTTCAGGATTCTCTCCTTGACAGCAAATTTATGAGAGAAATAAATTGCTTTGTGTTTGACAACAACACAGGATATTTTTTTTTCCCCCCTGGACATTAGGAACCATTACTTTACCAAGAGGGCGGTCAAACGCTAGAACAAGCTTTCTAGAGAGGTGGTCAATGCCCCAAGACTGTCACCATTTGAACAATGCCCTCAATAACATGCTTTAACTTTTGGTCAGCCCAGAATTGGTCAGGTAGTTGGGCTAGATGATTGTTGTAGGTCCCTTCCAACTGAAATATTCTATCCTATTCTACTCATATAGTCATAGTGCTGTACAATACAAACTATGGCTTCTCGGTATAACTTGAGAGAATGACCTTCTCCACAGAATCCCTCGTGTCTGAGAGACTCCTGAGACAAGAGTTAGCCCAATTGTACAGATTTTGCAGGATCTCTCCCTACTACTCAGAGCTGCTATAAGCACTTCCCCCTTTGCAGGTCTGAAATGCCAAACTAGACAAAGGTGAGGACTTTACCATACAAGGATAGAAGACTTCAGGCTAGAAGACTTATTTTTGTTCCTAAATGTATTCTCCACTTAAAAGGTCATCATATTTTATTTAACAGACGTTCATGAAGCACATGATCACATATGTTTCACTGTTGATTGGAAGCCTGATTCTGAGAAATGAAATAGAGTTATGGTCTTTCATTAAATTCTACTTAAATTCATTGCAATGTAGCCAAGCTTCATTGCAATGGGGAAACTGAATTTCTGTTTATTTTCCTTGTTAAAACAAGGTGAACGTCAGTCTTAGTTTCCTTATTTGACAGTCTTTCTATCTCTGTCCTGCTTAGGCTCTAGCCAGATGAAATTGCATTTAATTTCTTAGGGCTTCATAGTATTCTTAGTTGTTTTTTTGAAGACAGACCACTTTCTAGTTTTCAAATTCTAGTGGGGCAACAGAGCACTGTTATTTTCTGAACTGGCTTTCAGGATTCTCTCCTTGACAGCAAATTTATGAGAGAAATAAATTGCTTTGTGTTTGACAACAACACAGGATATTTATTTTTCCCCTTTCTAAAAAAATCTTGAATCCGAGAACATTTTTCTTGTCTCTTCACTTTGTGCCCACGGGAACTAATGCCTTTTCATTCCCAAACACGATTCAGTTGTCTTCTGTGTAAGTCCCTGAAAGTTTGCCCATTCTGGGACCAAACTGTAATTCTGCAATTTCTCAGAAAAGATATCACCTTATCCCAAGTTATATATTGGGGAGCTGATGCAACAGAGCACAGTGTACTGAATATGGTCTTACAAGTGCAAAAGTCACGATTCAGTTGTCTTCTCTGTAAGTCCCTGAAAGTTTGCCCATTCTGGGACCAAACTGTAATTCTGCAATTTCTCAGAAAAGATATCACCTTATCCCAAGTTATATATTGGGGAGCTGATGCAACAGAGCACAGTGTACTGAATATGGTCTTACAAGTGCAAAAGTGGGTCAGAGGCTGCAGATCTTGATGATTTTCACTGGTGATCTATAGCTGTAGGATCAGAGAAAGATCAAGAAAGCATGTTTATGGAAAGGCAGTCTACCGCCATTGTGTTATCTTCTTGGGGCACAGCTGACCTGCTGACAGGGAGGATGTGGTTCAGGGTGACATGAGGCTTGAGAAGTGACCTTCCATGATGTGGCTGTTCCTGTGAATACTGTGATCTCAGTGGTGTTTCCCTCTCCTGATGTTACCTGAAAGGTTGTGGCGGTTAGGGACAATGGCAAATTG